TTTCCAAAAACAAAGACGTAATTTGAATTTTATTAACAATAAATTTAGAACAAGAAATTCATATCTTGTGCCGAAATGCATTTGTCGAAGTCAAACGTTTGGGCTCCAAGATGGCGGACGAGTCAGCTCCCCTTTATCTAGTAGCTCTAGATTGAACGATCACGTCCGTACCGGTCCGCGGTCGCCACTCGAATCCTCTGGCCACAGTACATGTATAACCACAGTATAACCAGTAGTGGCACGCGCTCTTTTGTTTCACGTTCGCGCCGATCCGTACTGCACATCCGACATGTTTTTAATCTGACCAATCACAGGATTTTTGTACGTGTGTTAGTCTTCTTCGTCTTCTAGTACTGGCACTCGGCGCCCAACCACGGCTGCCGATACGGCCACGACGAACCAATAGACAGGTTGGAATACATTTCCTTCGGTCTTGAGGTCGCACCTAGCGGCCTCTGCGAGTAGTAGCACAGTATAACCAGTAGTGGCACTCGCTCTTTTGTTTCACGTTCGCGCCGATCCGTACTGCGCATCCGACATGTTTTTATTCTGACCAATTACAGGATTTTTGTACGTGTGTTAGTGCAAAGTCGGTGTGACATTGAAAAATACGTTGGAGCAAGTAATTACATTAATTACTTTTATTAGAACTTTTTTTTCATAGGCCACTTCCATTTACAATAAATAATGTATGCCAGTTCGTATGCGCCTTTCCTGGATACGATCCTGAAAAGGGCCCAGGCACTTTTAGCCATTGATACACTGTTAGGGCGATTAAAAACATGGCGGAAAATTGAGAACGCCCAGATCAAAGGCGCCGACAGAGAGTGCAACTACTGGTTATACTGTGGTAGTAGGTTTCGAGGCTAGGTTCAAATCTCAAGTTTGGCGCTCCTAAAGGCCGCCAAGAGAAGTCTGCACGTTTTGGGAGAGGGTTTGGAGAGGATTGGATAAATGTTATCGCAAATGGAGTTTCTGCTGGTGTGGAAGCTCAGAACATATTCGAGAAGGCGGGACATGTCAAATTTATAGTTCATACAATCAAATATTATATGGTTTAAGTCCTGGATTGCTTGTCCACAAGGACACGCGGCAGATTGAATATTATTTTTCCTGGCTAAACCGTAATTCAAATTATAGTGATTACTACGTATTCTGTTCATAATCACTAGCTCGCTTCTTTTAAGACGGATTTTGGCAAACCATGGCTTTGGGGAGTTTGTGTAAAAATACTGGTGATATAATTTACCCTTAGCTTCAAACTCGCGTCGGAAGTATTCGTCACTAATAGATCTCGCACCCTCCCTTGCCAATGTGTAAAAGTCCGAATAAGGAGCTCGAAAATCCCGTCTTGCGGCTTCTTCGTCGGTCGCCGCATTTCTGGCAAGACGATCTGCTTCCTCATTACCGTCTATGCCCTTGTGCGACGGGATCCACACAAATGTCACTTCTATACCTTTTTTTTTAGTTTTATGGGCTAGATTTCTAATTAGAGGAACGAGATGTCCCCTGTGGTGAGGATCCAAGGAATTAATCGCGTCCAAGACGCTTCTGGAGTCAGAAAGGATGATGGCTTTGGTCTTTGGTGAAACGAGCGCCCTCGGATAAGCACATCTTCAAGACTCCCACGATGGCCCATGCCTCGGCGGAGAAAATGGAAGCAGAATCTGGTAATCTCTGCGAGATATGTTGTTGGAGTTCAGGGGAGAAGATTCCGGCGCCTACAAGATTCCTGTCCGGCCTTTCCGTTCTGGAGCCGTCGGTGTAAATCGTCAGAGCTCCTTGTCGCAGATCATTTGTCTGTTCCAAAAAAATAGCAATCGCGGTCCTCCGGTTGTTATTCGTATTTATGTCCAGTTTTATATAAGGGGGGCGGTATGTCAATGATTCGCGCTCCACATTATAGCATGGAGGGATCGTCGATCGATGCATATCTGTGAGATCTTCCCTGATCTTGATGTTTGTTCTCATAATCGGGTTATTTTGTAGGATCCATGTTCTCTCCTTGAAGCAGGAGAGCCGGGCTCCGGTTTCCTCAAGGCAATTCGCTAGTAGTCCATCGGAACGTGTGAGCTTTCTGCATAGAAATCTTATATTTAGTAGATCTAGTCTGGCATGTAATGGTGGCTCTTTAGTCTCGCTCAAGAGAACGTTTATCGGGGTTGATTTCCTGTAACCCATAGCTGATCTAAGCGCTCTGTTTCTAAGCCTAAGAAGCACTCCCAGCCTGGTTAAGTTTTCTCTGAAAAAGAAAATCTGGTGACCATATTCTATGGTGCTGCGCATGACCGCTCTATATAAATTTATTAATAGTGCGGGGTGAGAGCCCCACCAAACACCGGCGAGAGAAGAAATAATTGGTGATAACCCTGCATTTTTTAATCAGCCACGCCAGGTGGGTCTTACCCGAAAAGGCGTAATCTATGTTGATTCCCATAAATCTGTGTTCCCCGGTTAGGGGGAGCTCCGAGCCGTTAAGCGACACCCTTTCCACGTCTTCGGCCTGTCGGGTGCTTTTGCCAAAGTTAATTGAGGTTGACTTGCTTACTGACAGCTCCAGGCCTCTGCCTTTCAAAAAGCGGTCTATTCTTCCAGTCGTTGTCGAAAGCAATTCCACGACCGAGCGCCTGTCCCGGCCTGAAGCCCAGATTGCCAGATCATCGGCATATTGCTAGATATTTACTCCATGAGGTATGCAGTCAGGCAACTCCCTTAGGTAGATAATGAAGAGCAAAGGGC